CTGATCTCGTTTTTTGTCGTTGTTCTTTCTGAAGATTTTATGTTTTTAGGGCAGTTTTAGGTTCATAGCAAAATGGAGAGGAAGGGGAAGGTACAGAGACTTCCCACAAGCCCCCTGTCCTCCCGCGTGCCCAGCCCCACCACTACCAACAGCCCATACCAGGGTGATCCATTTGTCACAACTGATGAACCTACACGGACATCATTATCCCCCAAAGCCAAAAGTTTACATCGGGGATCACTCTTGGTGTTGTGCCTTCTGTGGGTTTGGACAAATGTGTCATAGCCAGTGTTCACCATTCTAGCATCATCCAGAGTCATTTCACTGCCTCTGTGTCCTCTGCTCTGCCTGTTCATCTCTCCTTCCTCCTCCCTCCAGCCCTGGCGACCCTTGATCTTTTCACTGTCTCCCTAATTTCGCCAGAATGTCATGTAGTTGGATTTGAATTTTTCAATAATTGTTTTTCCAAGAACCCTCTCATATCTAAAAGCTTTGACAAAACACTTGGCGTTTTGCATTTGAAGCATGAAATCCTTTAATGCGTCCCCACATGTTCTTCCCCGTGCTGGGACTCAGTAGATGTCTGTCTCTTTGCTGCTGGGCAGAAGCACAATGGAGTTTGATGCCCTGGACTGCAAAGTCAAACAGATCTTGTTTCAGATCCCAGCTTTTTTTTTTTTTTTTTTTAGTAGAAGGAGTCTTGCTCTTTCACCCAGGCTGGAGTGACGCAGTATCGGCTCACTGCGACCTCTGCCTCCCGTGTTCAAGCAATTCTCCTGCCTCAGCCTCCCAAAGTGCTAGGATTACAGGCATATGGCACCACGTCCGGCTAATTTTTGTATTTTTAGTAGAAATGGGCTTTCACCATGTTGGCCAGGCTGGTCCCAGACTCCTAACCTCAGGTGATCCACCCGCCTCGTCCTTCTAAAGTGCTAGGATTACAGGCATGAGCCATCACGCCCGGCCTTGTTTGTTTTGAGACAGAGTCTCACTGCAGTGAGTGCAATGGCGTGATCTCAGCTCACTGCAGCCTCCACCTCCTGGGTTCAAGCCATTCTCCTGCCTCAGCCTCCTGAATAGCTGGGACAACAGGTGCCTGTCACCACGCCCCACTAATTTTTGTGTTTTTGGTAGAGATGGGGTTTCACCATGTTGGCCAGGCTTGTCTCGAACTCCTGACCTCAGATAATCCGCCTTCCTTGGCCTCCCAAAGTGCTGGGATTACAGGCAGGAGCCGCCGCGCCCAGCCTACACCACGTCATTTTGGAACAGTTGCTCACCCTTTGAGCCTCAGCATTCTCATCATTAAAATGACCCTACCCACAGCCAGGAGAGTGTGAGATAGTGTATACAGGTGTTTATATCATTCCTGACACGAAAAAGCACCCAGCATGTGACAGTGATCTTTTCCTTTTAACTCTGCAATGAGCCGAGGAGGAAGTTGCAGCGTTCCGCAGCACCTAGCACTGTGCCTTTCCCTTGGTAGGCCCTTAGCTGAGTTAACAGATGGATGCCATCGGGGTGAGACAGGAGAAGACATGCCAGGACATGGAGCTCGGTGGTGGTGCAGGCGGGCTGAGGGTTAGCGGAAAGAGACTGCACACGTACACACTCCCCAACTCCTGCCCTGAGTTCAGAGGGTCTTTATCCAAGGATAGGAGGTTCCAAATGGCTTCATGGAACACGACAGGCAGCACATCTTAGCGTGTCTTTTCCTCAGCCCCTCAGTTGGCTCAGTCACTGCCTTTTTCACACTCAGAACATTCCAGAAGAATGTACCAAGGCCCTGTGCACTTCCACGGAAGGCAGTGTTTACAGGCACTGGCCCCGCCTGATGTGTGAGCCAAACACAGGAGCAGCAGGGCCTCAGCCGCCTCCTTGGGGTCGAGGGAAGTCCCATTCCAGCTCAGGTTTCCTGTGGGCTCTAGTGGGGGGTTTATGTGTGTGTGTTTCAGCTCAACTTCAAAAAAATCCCCTTGATCAGTAATGACCAGACCTCCATTCACAGCACATCTGCTGTCTACCTGACACCAGCAGGGTCTGTGCGTGTTGAAGCATGTGTGGAGGTTTACATGAGTGAGATCATTATGGCCTTCATCTGGAGTTCCCTTTTTTTTTTTTTTTTTTTAATTTTTTTATGGAGATGAGGTCTTGCCATGAATTCCTGACCTCAAGCTGTCCTCCTGCCTTGGCCTCCCAAAGTGTTTGGGATTACAGGTGTGAGCCACTGTGCTTGTCCCTATCTGGAGTTCTTAAGGAACACTAAGTCCACTCTCTGAGCCTCTTCAGTGAACTTAGAGTCCTGCCATGAAAAAGGTTAGGCCATTTCTTATACAGTGGCATAAAGCGTTTATTTTAATTAAAGGAATAGGACCGTGTGCAGGTGGGAGCCGGCCGCTGAGCTCTGTGCTTCTGCCAAGAGGCTCCGGCTTTGAGGCGCTCCAGCTGCCTTTGCAGACCACTAGAGGGCACCAAAGAATGCCTGGGAAGGCCCTAGTGGCTTCAGGCGCTCCCTGGAGCCTCCTGGAGCAAACTTTTTCGGGCCCTGCTCTGCCTGGAGACAGGGTTTGCCACCCACATCAGCCTAGGGACAGATTTGAAGGGGCCTGAGGCACTAAGAAGGACAAGGACTGTGTCCTCTGACCTGCTGTGTTTGTCCCCAAAGTGCCCATGAGGAGTGGGGTGCGGGGCGTGCCACGTAAAGTTAGTGGGTGAGGGTGGGATGGTCTGGCCTGCGTGCCTTTCCTAACTACCATGTGCACGGGTTTTGAACATTCTAAATCTTACTGACTTCCAAGATGGTCTGCGGCAGGGCAGCACTGGGATATGTGAAGACCTGGTACGTTTGTGTGAATCTCTGCTCTTACTTTGTAGTGAACTTGTGTGTAAGAATAGTCTGTGTTTATCTTGTTCTGTTTATTTTTATTTATTTATTTTGTTTTGGGGGCAGGGACAGAGTCTTGCTCTGTCGCCCAGGCTGGAGTGCAATGGCACAATCTCAACTCAGTGCAACCTCCGCCTCCCGGGTTCAAGCGATTCTCCTGCCTCAGCCTCCCGAGTAGCTGGGACTATAGGCATGCGCCACCAGGCCTGGCTAATTTTTGTATTTTAGTAGAGATGGAGTTTTACCATGTTGGTCAGGCTGGTCTCGAACTCCTGACCTCAAGTGATCTGCCCGCTTCGGCTTCCCAAAGTACTAGGATTACAGGTGTGAGCCACAGCGCCCGGCCTATCTTGTTCTGTTTAAATGGTTTTCTCAAATGCCCACGAATGCCAGGCAGGGATCCCAGGCAGCAGAGACCTCACGATGCCAGTCTGGTGGGCCACAGCCTCATCTGCATTCCATGTAACCTATGCAGGTCCCTGAGGGAACTGAGTAAATGCTTCACAGACCAAGAATGTTGCCGTTGCCATCTGCCTGCAACCCGCCAATAAGCGTGAGGTCGTGTATGGCCAAGCCTCTCCTCCCACGCTGTCCAGTAGAAGTCCCTGAGTCTCTGGACCCTGTCACTCATCACGGCAGCAAGCTAACATGCTCTCGTGTGGCCTGTGTTGGACTTTTCCTTGTGCCCTCTGCAGCCACTGTTTTTTGAATGCCCACTGTATGCCAGGCACAATGCCAGGTTCTTACGCTTATTTGCCGGGTTGCTGTGCTGAGCCTTTACTCACATTATTTCATTCAGCTTTCATGCCCTCTAATGGAAGTGCCATTAGTATCTCCATCTTGCATCTGAGAACACTGAAGCTTAGTTGCTGAGGGTCATGCCCCAGCTCACCTGGCTGGTAGGAGTCGGATTGGGTCAGCCAGAACCTGAGCTCTGCTTTATTTATTTATTTATTTATTTATTTATTTATTTATGAGACGGAGTCTCACTCTGTCACCCAGGCTGGAGTGCAGTGGTGCAATCTCCACTGACTCCAGCCTCCACCTCCCAGGTTCAAGCGATTCACTTCAGCCTCCCAAGTAGGTGGGATTACAGGCGCCCGCCACCACGCCCAACTAATTTTTGTATTTTTAGTAGATACGGGATTTCACCGTGTTGGCCAGGCTGGTCTCGAACTCCTGACCTCAAATGATCTTCCCGCCTCAGCCTCCCAAAATGCTGGGATTATAGGTGTGAGGCACCGCGCCCACCCTGAGCTCTGCTTTATGCTCAGATCTTTCTTCTTCTTTTTTTTTTTTTTTTGAGGCAGGGTCTCACTCTGTCACCCAGGCTGGAGTGCAGTGGCAGCATCACAGTTCACTGCAGCCTTAGTCTCCCAGGCTCAAGCGATCCTCCTGCCTCAGCCTCCCAAGTACGTGAGGACAGGCATGCACCACCATGCCTGGCTAATTTTGGGGGGGGAGTTTAGTAAACACAAGGTCTCACTATATTGCCCAAGCTAGTCTGGAACTGTTGAACTCAAGCAGTCCTCCAGCCTCAGTCTCCCAGAGGGCTGGGATTATAGATGTAAGCCACTGTGCCCAGCCTATACTTGTTGAATCTTTAATGTTCATCCCAAACCCTAAAGGTAGACATTACCCCCATTTTATGGAAAAGGACACTGAGGCTCAGAAAGGTGCTGTGACCTGGCCAAGGCCCCCTTGCGAGTGAGTGCAAAGCCAGGACTCGAACTGTCCCCCAGCTTCTGTCTCCCCCCGGGCCAGGCTTCCCCCGAGCTCCTCCCTGCCCCCAGCCCTGGCCTGCAGCTGCATGGGCTATTTTCATCTCTCCTGTCATTCCAGCAAAACCACTGGGCCAGTGAGTCAGTCTTGTGGTTAAGGGAGGAAGGGTACTGCTGGGAGCCCGCAATGGAAGAAGTTTCTTCAACGGGTGGCCACCGGGCGCCCTGCAGTACCCCTGCACTAAGGGAAGAGCCACGTTCCTCTAGGCCTGCCCATGGCTTTGGGAAATCAGTGCCCTGGATAAGCCACCAGCCTTCCCCACAAAGGCTTGGGAGTGGCAGTTGAGAAGCGTTCACTGCCAATTCACTTGGACCCCCTTGTCCTCCCCACCCAGGTGTCGGCGGTGCCCACTGTACTGGCCATGAAGAATGGGGACGTGGTGGACAAGTTTGTAGGCATCAAGGATGAGGATCAGTTGGAGGCCTTCCTGAAGAAGCTGATTGGCTGACAAGCAGGGGCGAGTCCTGGTTCCCTTGCCCGCGTGGGACCCCAGTAGAACTCAGCCCTTCCACGCCAGCCCTTCCTGCTGCCTCCCTCCTGTCTGGCCTCTGGGGCCTGTGCTTAGAGCCCGGGCTCCAGCCCTGAGTGCTTCTGAGCTGGTGGACTGCCCAGGGGCCATCAGAGGATGGTGCTGCTGCTGATCTGGGGACCGCCGTCTTCCCTCCCACACGCATTTCATCCCTCCCTCTAGGGCCTGTGGCAGTTCTCCCAGGATGCGTGGAGAGAGCCTGGGCCAGCCCACAGCGTTCCTGGTCAGGCAGCCACACCTTGGTCCTCATCTCTGGTCCCTTCCGATCTGAAGCCTCGTACCTGGCTCATCTCCACCTGCATTTCTCTTTCCTGCTGCTGTTTTGGAAAAAGAAAAAAAAGAAGCCCAAATTAGTGAGAATAATATCTAATTCTCTCATTTTTTGCAGGTCTGTGATAAAGAACTTAGTCATCCCTTCCACCTCCTACTGTGAAGAGCAACCCTGGGTCTCACACTGAAATCCCCTCTAGTCACCCATCCTCACCCCCCAGGGAGCCCCCTCCCACCTCACCTCCCAGGCAGTGGGGCAGAAAATGATTAATGGGCTGGGGAGCCCTGGAGAACCTTGACTCTGGAAGTCTCGAGGCACCTCCTTCGCTCCTTAGCTGGCCCATTGGTTTTCTGAGCCGGGGGCTGAACTGTGAACAAGTCAGACCAATAAAGCAAGGGTCTGCACCGTCTGCCATGTTGCATCTGTGTGGGCTCAGAGCACCTGTGACCCTTTCCCAGGGGGCTTGTCCACTGTCCCTGCATCCTCGCCTAACTCCACAGCACTCTCTCCAACCAGCCCCTCCTCTTCACTATCATGCTTGTCAGCTGTGGCTGCTATTCTGAGGATGCCACGTGCCAGTCCTCGTGCCCTTCTAAGGCAAGAGGCTGTTGTCCCCATTACCCCGATGAAGACACTGAGGCTCATGGGATGCAGAACTGGGGTTTCTATCCAGACGTGGTTGCCTCTGAAACCTGGGCTCCCATAGCTGAACCCTTTGACCCTTCTGAGGCCACCCCCGTCTGACGGGCTCCTGACTGGCCCAGCAAGTGCCTGGCCCTGTGGGGATCAGGCTCTCCTTCCCGTGGGTGCCTGCAGGAACTTCTGGGCCTTGGGACCAGACAACCTCTTTTGGCCCCCAGCTCCCCTTGGCCATAGAGGAGTGTGCCAAGGGAGCCAGGCTTGCCAGCCAAGAAAGCCTTCCGTCTGCCTCACTCCTGGGGCCAAGCTGTCAGGGCTCGGTTGCCCGGATGAGGCCCCAGCTTCCTGTGAGTCGGGTACTTGGTGGCAGGGGGGTCTGACAGCCTACCCCATGGCCCCAGGGATGCCATGGGGCTCGTATTGCTTGCTCTCAGAGGCTCACCCTGTTCCTGTGAGAACTGCCTGCGTTCTCTAGGGGACCACCCAAGGACTGCCTTGGGAAGGCTGCCGAGACTGAGGGAGGAGAGAGGCCCGTGGCCTCTGAAGGACCCCAGGCACCAGGGACTGTCACAGTCACATGGAGGCAACAAAACCAGCAACTGGTGTCAGTGGAGACAGAAGTTCATGGAGTGAACATCCTCCAAAGGCCAAAAGCCCTGGATAAGATGAGCAGGACCTGTCCAGGCTCAGGAGGCACCTCCCAGGCACCTGGCACTGTTCTGAGGGTTTCAGCTTACCACAGCCCCGCAGGGAGGCGTCGCCCTTCAGGTTCCACCTGAGACCTGCCCCAAGAGGTTGAGGAGCCTTCCCCAGTTCACAAAGCCCCTGAGAAGCTGAACTGGGATTCAAGGCCAGGCAGCCTTCCGCACCCACCCCCAGGCACCAACCTCACTACCTCCCTTCATCTGATAGAAGGTGGCATGTGTGTGATCTTCATCTCACAACAGGCAACAAGGCAGGTGGTGTCGGCTCATTTGACACAGTGGGAGCGGAGCAGATCAGAGGTTGAGTAACTCTTTCAATGACACCCAGTGAGCCCAGGGTGGGGCCAGAGCACAATGCTGGGGCGCCTTGACTCCTGAGTCTGGGCCCTTTCCACCGGACCCCACTGCCACTCCTTAAAAGGCACCGTTTGCCACGCACCTTCTACACACATTACCTCATCGAATTCCACTCTTGTGAGGCAAGTATTATTTCCATATCATAAGTGAAAAAACCAGTTCAGAGAAATTGACTTGCCCAAGGTCATGTCTGAAAAGTGATGATTTGAACCCAGTGGGGGTCTGGCCTCTCTGCCCGGGTGGGCGTGGAGAACTGTGGCAGAGGCCTTGGCCAGAGGCAGGACCCGGGTGCTGCTCCAGCTCCCTCTCCTTAAAAGGTGCGTTGCCCTGCAAGGTGAGCCGGTGGCTGTGGCCATCCCAGGTTGGCAGCCTGCGCCCATGAAGCTGATCATGGCCGTGAGTCACGCTGGCTGTGCTCACAGAATCCTCCGGGTGATCCTGTTTGACCAATTCCAGGACACTGACCTCACCGGGGATGCCGCTGGCTCTGGGCTGTCAGCCCACGGTCGTCCTCTGGGTGCCACGTTGGGCCCCAGGACTGTGGACTGGGTTGGCAGACACCTGCTGAAAGGCTTTAGCCACCAGGTTGGGAAGCCGGGGAAAGGGGACAAAGTCGCAGGCTTGCCGAGTCTAAAGACAACCCGGGATATGGCCCCTGTATATTTATTCTTGACACCAAGTGCTTGTGGTTGCCTGCAGAGAGGCAGCAGGGATGGAAGCTCGAGTTTGCTGGGCTGGCTGCTTGACTTCTGCGCTCCCTTGTGCCCTGCAGCTCCACCCTACCAGGGAGCAGGTGCCAGCCCACAGAGGAGATGGAGTGCCAGGGTGGGCATTGAGACGACTGAGACACCACTCCGGGCAGGCACTCTCACCTGCAGGCAGCACCAGCATGGCTCAGAGTGAACGTTTGGTGGCCACAAACACAGGTTCCTTCTAAATACAGAACACGGAGCCTGGCGCGGTGGCTCACGCCTGTAATCCCAGCACTTTGGGAGGCCGAGGCGGGTGGACCACCTGAGGTCAGGAGTTCGAGGCCAGCCTGGCCAACATGGCGAAACCCTATTTCTACTAAAAATACAAAAATAGCCAGGTGTGGCAGTGCACACCTGTAATCTACTAAAAATACAAAAATAGCCGGGTGTGGCAGTGCACACCTGTAATCTACTAAAAATACAAAAATAGCTGGGCGTGGCAGTGCACACCTGTAATCGCAGCTACTCGGGCGGCCGAGGCAGGAGAATGGCTTGAACCCAGGAGGCAGAGGCTGCAGTGAGCCGAGATCACACTACTGCACTCCAGGCAACAGAGCGAGACTCCATCTCAAAAGAATAATAATAATAAAACATAAAAATAAATAAACCTCCCGAACATGGGAGGGAAACTGACCCTGTCCTTGAAGAACTTATGCCCAGAGACCTCAAAGCAGGGGGCTGCGGTCATCCCTGAGCCGATGTCAGGGCAGCGTAAGGGACCTCCGGCTACCCAGCATCCCTTGTGAGGCAGAGGGCAGGGGAGGCTTGCCCAGGTGGCAGCGTCTTTGTGGCAGGGCAAGGATTTTAACCCATGCCCTGACTCCAGCCTGCCCTAAAGTGGAAATGAGGCGGAGCCTTTTCTACCCTGGCCTCAGGAGAGAGGCATGAGGAGGGCAGCTGTGTCTCTGAGGAGGGAGGACTCGGGTAAGGACCTGTCAGGTCAAGAGGATGTTGATGGCGCTGCTGCCACTGCCTTCCCAGCAGGGCCTGCCCCTGCCAGGGGCCAGGGCCAGCTCAGCCCCCACCCCAGCCGCCTGGGGAAAGCTGTTACAGGAAGTGAAGGTAGTTCTGGCCAGGCTGCGGAAATCCCAAATGTGTGGGCTCTGGGCAGGGAAGGGCCCAGAGAACAATGTTGGGGCCGTATCCATGGAGGGCAGGATGCTGGCGACAGTAAGGCTGCCAGGCCCTCAGCCGCAGTTCCTCTGCGCTGCCTGGAACACCAGCTGGAGGCGTGACCCTTACCCCGGCCAGGGCTGGGGTCCCTGGCTCTGCAGGAAACCTGGGCCACTGGTTGTTCCAAGGAACCTCCCTTTCCAGCCACCTCCTGGCAGCAGGGCCCCTCCGGCCCTTCCACGGTGATGGAAGTAGGGTGGGAAGAATCTGATCTGGATTCAGATCCTGCCTGTGCCACCTGCAAGTTGTGTGACCTTGGGCAGGCTGCTTCTCCATTCTGAGGCTTGGTTCACGATGGTGAAATAGGCTGGCAGTGATGGCTGGCAGTTACTGAGTGCATGCTACATGAATTCTCTCACTGAGTCTCCACCGCAACCCCAAAGGCAGGGACCGTTGTTACCACCATTTTACAGATGAGGAAACTGAGGCTTGGAGGGCTTAAGTAACTTGACATGAATGGAGTTCAGAGCTCAGATCTGAACTCCGATGTGGCCGGACACGATGGCTCACGCCTGTAATACCAGCACTTCGGGAGGCCAAGGCGGGAGGATCACTTGAGCCTAGGAGTTCGGGATCAACCTGGGCAACATAGTAAGACCCTGTCTTTACAAAAAATTTTTTTAAAAAAATTAGCCTGGCATGGTGATGTGCACCTGTAGTCCCAGCTACTTGGGAGGGTGAGGTGGGAGGATCGCTTGAGCCCAGGAGTTTGAGGCTACAGTGAGCTGTGATCTCATCACTGCACTCCAGTCTGGGTGACAGAGTGAGATCTCGTTCTAAAACATAAAAAATAAAAATTATTTATTTTATTGTTTTTGAGATGGAATCTCGCTCTGTTGCCCAGGCTGGAAAGGAATGGCATAATCTCTGCTCACTGCAACCTCCTTTGCCTCCTGGGTTCAAGCAACTCTCCTGCCTCAGCCTCCCGAGTAGCTGGGATTACAGGCATTTGCCACCACACCTGGCTCAGTTTTGTATTTTTAGTAGAAACGGGGTTTTACCATGTTGGCCAGGCTGGTCTCAAACTCCTGCCCTCAAATGACCCACCTGCCTCGGCATCCCAAAGCGCTGGGATTACAGGCGTGAGCCACCGTGCCCAGCTCCAAAATAAATTTTAAAAAGGGGGAAAAGAATGAACCCCAATGTCTTTACTTTCTAATTCTCTTTGTTCTTGCTCATTATACTGCTTTCCTTTTGGGACAAGGTTTTTCACCATTTTGAGCCCCCGTTGCAGCATCTCCAAGCTGGGGCTCATGACAGTCTCTGCAAATGAGGTCACAGCTCAGCAGGTGGAAGCGCGCTGGCACCCACTGGAAGCTCCAGAAGTGTTGAGCTGCGTGGCTTTCTCCTTCCCCCTACCCCCAGTCACATCTGAAACAGGAAACACCAGGCTTCCCAAGATAAGGACCCCAGCACCATGGGAGGGGCCCGTCGCTGTACCAGCCTTACATTCAGCCCTGTGCCCTGGCCCTGGTCCCTGCCACCACCTCCTCCTGCTCTGGAGCTGGCTTGGTGGTGCCTGTGTCTCAGACAGCCCTAGGGAGTTGGAGGCAGTGACCTCACCCTTGGAGAATGCCTGCTGGAATTCACCCTGAACCTGCTCCTCCGTTCTCCATGCCTCCCAGCCACTTCTGAGCGCACTCTCACGCATACCTCTGTGGCGGCCAGTGGAGCATCTCCTGGGAACAAGAACACCCCTGCTACACAGAGCTGTTAATTACCAACTGGGGGACAAGCCAGTTTCCCCACCTTCAGCCAGCTTGCTGGGCAAGCTTAGGCAAGTA